TACCGTTTTACCAAAGTAAAGATGTTTTGTACAAGAATTACGCGTGAAAAAAATGCGCGAAATGCAGTAAAAAGTGCTTTAATGAGATATATTAAATCCTATTTGGAAAAAACTGTGGCTTTCATAATCTCATCATTATACAACGTATCACAATTAATAATTAAAAAGAGTTATGTTATACAAACGCCATAGGTTTCAGTGTTAAAGTAAACCAGATCGTCCCTACTCTTTCTTGTCGACATGTCGGTGACGCGCGCCCCGCCCACTGGGTTAGTCTATCTCTTAAAAGGTCCATATCATGCACCCGATTACGTCACAATAGGGTTTCCATAACATTCAACTACTCAGGATACCATAAATGAAACAACAACTTAGCGATAAATCAAACAACTTCGCCATAATACAAAGGGTACCTTCTCTACCCTCTCTTCAGTTAAAAGTATACTAAGAAAACTAATTCTTTAATTACCGTCTAGTAAAAAAAAAAAAAATAATAATAAAATCATTACTAAAACACATATTGAGGCCTTTTTGATATCTTAACGGTTTGAAATCAAATGAAAACTTTAAAAAAAAATGAAATACTTTAAAGAAAGTACAGCATCAGAGCCTTATCATCAGATTTTAATATCTGAAATTAATCTCATAACTGCTTCTCCTAAACATTCTTATTACTTTCCAAATACTTATTTATGCAATATGTGCCTCATTACTGGCAAGTGCCTGATTCACCAAAAACGGTATGGCTCTGTGTTGTACAGATTCATTTAGATTAAATTAACAATTTTTTGAAAGTATGTATTGTAAAATATATTTTTATATTATTTAAATTAAATAAAAAACTGAATCATGTTTATATTAAAGGAGGATAGCAAGAATGCCTATATCTCATTGTTACCTCATCTTAACAACAAAACACATTTTCTAAATCCCCATCTTTGCTTTGAAAAATCGTATTGAAATAATTCCAAATGCCCTGATTTCATTGTATGTTTGCAGAAATTTATGGATAGCAAAGAATCTTCATTGTTTTTTCTGGCCCTCTATAAAGTTCATGCATCTCTGGTATTTTTTTCGTCGATAATCGCTTCATTCTTAATAATAATTTTTTAATTTATCTTCAATTATTATACATCAATTATTACTGCTTTCATTCAAGTCGCAATTGACGCAAATGAAATGCGCATCAAAGAAATGCTATTATTAAATAAAGTTTTGTGTTCTTAATTTGCCCCCCCCTTTTTTGTGTGTGTGTGTTTTTATGCATTCTCTTCTTATCTTATGTTTGGAATTTAAAATATCTTTAAATGCACTTCTCTCCCCCCCCCCCGCATTACCCATATGACGTATAAAGTAAGTTTCAACAAAATAGGTTTACCAGAACGAGCTTGATATAGGTATAAATAGGGTAACTTTAAAACCACCCTGTATGTGTGCGGAAATTTAAGGAATATATTTGTTAAATATAATTTCATTTCTTGATCTGCCCACACAGGAAAAAATATCCCTGTATTGTGCGAAAGAATAGTTGAAAGGCGCTTTTCTGAATTCGCAGGCAGGACCAAAGTGCAGCTTAGTCAGTATTTGATTGCAGTAAGAATGAAATATGATTTGTGCACAAAAGTGTTAGAACCTGTATAAAAGTTATATTGTAATTTGTTATCAGCAGATATATATTTGAATACATATCTAACTGCAATTAAATGTTAAGCTGAAGCTGCGACGAGCATTGCAAAATTAATTTAACAAATGGCCAGTCTTTCCTTTAGCCTGTGTTTATTGTATAGTGGAAATTTCCAACAGTAGATAAAATATTAGCTACTGGCACACACTGTTGCTGTAGTGTCAGAAATGCAAATAAATAAGTAAAAAAAACATAAAATACCATAAATATATAAAAATCCTTAAAATTCCTTGTTAACCTTTGACTTCATTTTATTTTCCCTTAAATTTCTTAACATCTGATGAAATTTTTTAATTTTTTTATGAGGAGATGGGGAAGGAGTGTCCACATTTGAGTCGAGTGTCCCTCCCAGTCACGCAATCAAGCCATCTCTCAATATACCCATTATTCAAATAAGAAGAGAAACATGCTACTATAAAATTTATAACAATCCTCCTCTATTATGTGAAGATTTAGCTTCAATGGCTATCAAATGCTGTTTAAAATTATAGTTACTTTAAATGCTCAAACATTTGCTGCCATCTATCAGTGCAATCAGTAACTTCTGAAATTAATAGTATCATAATGTGGCGCCACCTAGACATAGAATATAGACGTTCTTTGACCTAGAGGCTTATATATTTATATGAAGCTCATTGTATGTTTAAAACTAGACAAAAGAAAAAAAAAGCTTAATAGCAAAATTTTAATAAACTTCATTGATTTCCTCTCCAATGGCCGAGTAGTTAATACCACTGAACGTTAAGAGTTTGATCCCAAGCGAAAGGGTAGGCTCCATGGTTAGTTTTCCCATGTGCAACATGAATACAAGCCTGTTCCCCTTAGAAAGTTTCCACAAAGTATTGCTCCACCTGTGTGCTTGCTCTATTCAAATAACACAGCCTAACGTAGACGACGTGATTATACACAAGTCCCTTTTCTTCATTAGCAAAAATACAAGTTTTACTCTATAAACCAATCTCTAGTTTTGCTGTCCTTAAATGAGTAAAATTTTGCCTTCGAAATCAACAATTTTATTCAATAGCTATGCCTTAACGATGCAAAATTTTCAAAAACTGTAATTCTTGTTAGAAGTTTCTAAACAGTTGTTTCTCATTTCTTAAATTATTTGTGTAAGTTTTATAATATCTACAAAGATCTGTCTAAATTCGTATTACAAGTATGAAAGTTCATCAAGGCAAAGCAACAGGTCATCATTTCAAGGAATGCTATCGTACTTTGAAAAGTACAATAGCATTCCTTGAAAAAAAAAAAAAAAAAGAGTGAAGACCAATACATGTATTGCATATATACCTCTTTTTAACATATTCCTGCAAATTCTCTTGACATTTCACCTATGGACTATTGTGCTTTTTGTCTCTTGAAAAGAGTTCTTTCTAAACAATGAACTAAAAATTACTTTAAAAAAAATTGGATCAAATATTTAAAAAATACTTTTTACATTTTAAACATTTATTAGACAGCCACAAAATGATTCTGAAATTACATAACTGCCTTCTGTATAATTAATAAATAACTATTATTTAAATTTTAATAATTTTATATTAAATATTCTTAACATTCACATCAAAATTATTAATAGACCAGGGCACTGTACTTTATTCCTATTCATAGTGGATGACCAGAATGAGAAACAGACTCATCTCTGACAAAGATGAGTGTGTCATTCAGTAGCTGCAGAATACTATTTTAACAGCACAGTTTCATCAATGCTGTACAACTAGGTTTCACACTTAGCTTATTTAATATGATTTAATCGAAATTTAAATACTCTTTATTTTCCATATTGTTTAATATTTTAATAAGATATTTTGCAGTGACTGTTATGAAAATTGAAAATGAGGTTAAAATAATTAGATAACTTTAAATTACAGTGCGATAAGCAGAATTCTAGAAGCAGAAAATAAAATTGTTTAGAAATCTGCAGAGCTATTTCTCTTATATATACATATTTTTAGAGTAATTCAAGATCATTTACTACCACATATCAGTTTCAAATCCTTTCTTCTTCCCCTCTTTAGAACTGACGAGTATGTTATTAATATAATCTATATTACATGCTCTTCTGTATGTTTACTTTAATTACTTACTTACATTGTTTTAATCTGTTTAGTATTAGAAATACATATAATTTGTAAAGATTTTGTGCATATCAAAGCAGACAGACTTTCCTAAGTGTTCTACAAAGAGGTTAAATTTACAGTAAAAGCTTTAAACTGTTTTACTCAAGAACCACTGAACAAAAAATTTTCAATATGGATCAATTACAGACATGTTATAGAATGTAAAACAATGAATAAAAATATTTAGTGCCCCCATTCTATCAACACCCAAGACAAGATTTGTCCTCCTGTGTCATACAAGGGAGGAAATTAATCATACATTTTGATAATTGGCAGTCTATCTATTGTAATGTGCCTGTGTTCTAAAATGCAATGAAAAATCTTTAGTATTTTTCAAATACATTCATTTGTAGGTCACTTTCAAATATTTTCAGTCACAGGTAATAAAAAACTACTTTTTCAGCTCATTTTTGGATTTTCCATACATATGCACAAATCATGCTGTAATCTTTTGCATAAATATGTTCTTTTAAATAAATGAAGTCAAAAAATACTGCTTTATAAATAAAGCAAATTTGGGATATTATATTATTATTAAACATAGCACCACTTTTCTAACCTGGAATTCCTCATGTACTTGGAAAACACTAAAGATTGTAATTCATCTAAAACAAACTGCTTTCTACCTTGCAGACTGCTGAAAAGAATGTTACTTTTGCTTAATCTCTCTATTGAAATATTAGGTTACAATTTGGCAGTAAAGCATAACAAGCTATTTGTGTCATATTGTGCATACTTCCTTAAAATATATTTATAATTGAATTTTAACATATATCATCTATATATTAGAATTAAATTATAGAAAGTAATTTCCTCTTTTAAATGTTAAACTGTTAAAACAATTTTAAACCATGTTAAACTTTTATATTTTATTTTCCTATAAAGTTTTTTCTATAAAAAATCATATGTAAAACCTCTATCATTTGATTCAATTCTCTGTTATTAAAGAAACATTAAATAAATATTTCATGTTTCATGACATAAGCCTAATACTTAATTAAGGAACACTTCTGTGAACATTGCATGAATAGGATCATAGAATACTCGATGGGCTAAATGCAGCACAAAATTCTTAGAGAACATGATCTATTAAAAGTTATAGTGCTTTGTCATGAAATATGAATGAATCATCATGGTAACATACTTTGAATTCATAATTATATGTATATAATTGAGAGCAATGTAAAAAAGAATTAGAATCACAAAACATTTATTATTACAGAAAGCAAGAATTTGCACATATTTCAAAGCACAGGAAAATGCACTAATATACATACATTTAAAAATAGCATAAGAATGTGCTTTGACTAATAGATACTCAACAATAAAAATGACAGGAAAAATTTCTACACCACCGAAAATGCATATAATCCATTCAGTAAATTCATCACAGTATCATTTAACCAATTATTATAACAGGGTGTGGAGAAATATGTAAAATGAATGCATGAGACCCAATAATTCAATACTAACAGCAGCTAAATTTTGTACCGTTTTACACAATGCTCCCAAAGACTCTGCATTATAAAACTATACTTATAGAAGAATAAATACTGAGTACTGATAGCAGTTCAACTAAAATTTAGTTAGCTTTTAGAATTATATACAAAATCTCTTTATATATATTCAGTTATTTTTCCTAAAGATAGCATTTTGATTAAAAAGGTATTAATAAAAGAATACTAAAGACTTTTCAATAAAAAATGAAAAGAAATACCATATAAAATATCTAAAATATAAATAATCTCATGAATGTTATATATCACATAAGTGCTTTTGAAACATTAAGAAACAATGATGCATAATTATGTATATAAGTTTAATATATTATCCAAGTACTTTAAGGAGTACTTGACATAAGAACACATATATGAAACAGCATAAGTTTGGAAAAAGTACACAATCCAACAAAAACCTTTGTCCGGTTTTTGATAAGTACGTTTGAAGCTTAAAAATGCATAATAATACTTAAGTAAATAAAAAATATATGCCACACCCTGCATAGAATAAGCATGAAATACTAAACTTTTCATCACAAAATACTCACTAGAATTACATTAATACCTATGGATTATCACAGACCAATACACTCATATGTATTATCATAAAATGTATGGAAAGTTAAAAAAAAAGCTTACTATCATAACATATAATACTGTCATATAACTGAATAATGCTTTTATATCTCAAAATTGTTCCACCTCTGGATTCCCAACAATACTGCTCAGTAATTACTGAGTGAATGGACGCAATATAAGTAGGAAATCTCAGTACTAATTCAAAAATGTTCAAGATGGGGGGAAAAATTATCCTGCCATAAGAAGAAATATTTACAACATTAAATAGCTACATAAATGAAAAATTCATAATATGTACATAAAATATATTACTTCAGCTGCAAAGATTTTTTTATAGGAACAGCTAGGAATCAAGAGGCCCCCCCCAAATGATAATAAATCACAAAATTTATTTTAAAATTCAATTTAATATGTGGTCTTAGTTCTAATCCTTTTATGTCCCACACATAAAAAAAAAAAAAAAAAAAAAAAAAAAAAAAAAGTTCTTCTTCATACATTAACCCTGGTCCCTCTAATCACATTTTCATTATTTCTCAAATAAAAGAAAGCTTAATTTAAAGACTACAGAGATTGTATTTTTGTTGCTCAGATAAATCTATTTAAAGCACATTCGATGGAATAGAAAATTTCTGGAGCAAAATATAAAAATAGCAGATAAATCTTTCAATTATCTTTTCAAAAAGTTTTAAAATCTTCCTAAAAATTTCCCACCTCATACGGTCTTGGACAAGTCACTGAATTCCTCTATTTTCAGGGTATAGAAATATATATTTAAAAATGCAGATAAAAGTACTAGTTACAGCATATTACACTGAGAATAACATTGATGAATACTACTGGACTGTACAAAACTAAGATGTTTTACACAGGAATCAGAACTCTAATAAGAGTTAGTAAATTGGGGAGAAAATACCAGTGCTAGGCAAATCATACCTTGGTACAAGGTAGTAAATTAAAATGGCCAATAAATGGTACAATAAAAGGGAACTGTACCTAAATAATACAAAAACACAGAATCAAAATTTCTTTCTCTTTCATTTTTTAAATAAAGACTACTTTTGTACTAATGTTTTAGACTAATAAAGAAAAAAAAATAAAGGCAGTAAATTTTTTAATTTAATTTTTATAATTATTAATAAGGTCACTATATACTAACTGGATGACAAATAAGTGGCAGATTTGCTTTGTAAAAAAGCAGAGAAATTTTAAAAAATATATAAGTCAGTAAAAATTGTAGAGCATATCTAAAGCACGTATGTTTTAACATTAACAATGCTTAATGCTGGTATGCAAAGGTATAGCACTCAACAGTAAAGATATTAATGCACAATAGTAAGTGAGAAAGGGGGTATATCTGAAAAATTGGCAAATTGCATTCTACATTTATAGCTAAAACTTCAAATCAATGTATTACTTTATTTTTCTCCCACGAATATATATATATATATATAATCTATATTAGTTTATAAAATTTTTAATAATAAATTATTACTTTTTCATATTCCTTTTTTTAACTAGTACAGTGCAAAGCGGATTTCCATAACAGAAAAAAAAAAGCCATTATTATATATATATAATCAATTTGCCAATATCAGAAGAGAAACAGGATATACATGTAATCTATTCACTAACCTGAAACTTAACTAGTCTATTATAAGAAGTATGAATATAAGTATTTCAAATAAAAATCTATTAATCTAAAAAACATTAATATCCAATACCTACTGAAAGTTTGATATAACTACATAAACATTGTTTATGTAACAATGGTTTTACTTCTAAGAAAAATAAAAAAAAGTGCATTGAATTTTTAACACATAACATAAATGCATATATAAGTTACATAATTCCTAATAACAGAAAAACTGAACTGTTAAAAAAAAAAGAGCAATTCAAATTTTAATGCAGAAAATCAGAAGTAAAGAATATGCATAATGTTTGAACTCAGATAAAAAGGGGGAAAAAAAGAAATTAAATTTACACCAGCAATAAAGCATGTGAGCACCGATAGTAACTATGCCACTCTGAATTTACTTTGGATGTTTTAACAGCTCAGCATAACTGCTAACTGTGCTTTGATTGCTATCAATGTATGGTGCCAGACTTTCTTGAGATGAATTTGGTTCAAAAGGAGAACGTTCTGTTTCATTTGGGGAAACAGATACCGGTGGGTCTGCAGCTGGCTCTGATAAATCAACAGTGACCTCTTTCAAAGCACTGTTAGCATTATTAACAATATCATGACGGCGATTATATTCTATGATTGTTGCTGGCGTGGCATGACCTGAATCAATTGGGCTGGAATCTGGAGGGATGTCCAATATTATATGTCGCAAATCATCACGTTGCTCCATGTGGATGGGTGTTCCAGCACGAGTTGGGATAAGAGGCTCTCCAATTTCTCGATGGTTATCCAAGGTTTGATCATGCAAGCTGTCGGCAATAGAGCTAGTGATTGATCTGCGATTAGGTGTTTTGAGAGTAAAACCAGAAAAAATGCTGCCTTCTTTCTTTGGTGTACCTGCCACATTTTCTGTGCTGGATCCGATTATCATATTAAGAAGTTTGGTGCCAGGAAAATTCTCTAGAAATCTTAAACCCGACTGAGAAGTGCTATCACTATTATCACCATTCAAATTCACTTTGCTGCCAGCAACTGATCGAAATGCCGGTGACAACTCATTGGTGGGACTTTGTGGTGGGCTGTTGTAATTATTATCATCATTATCTTCTTCCATTATAGTTTCCATAGGCAAAAACTCTGATTCCTCAGGATCAATACTGAAATATTCACAAATATGATGTAGATATGTAATCACATAATATTTTTTTAAGTTATAAATATAATATAACTCATTAGAATTAATATATAACCTTAAATAATTATTAAAAATTTTACTGTTACCAAAAGCTTAAAAAAAGGATCCCTAAATTATTAAAAATTCATCTCAAGGCTTAAATTTTAACTTGCTGGATTATAACATAAATAAATCATAAATAGCCACAAACTTACTCTAAATTGACAGCAGATCCAAGATGTGGCTGAGTCCGTAACATAAACGATGATTTTGTATAGGGAAGTTGAGGTTCAATTTCATCCCAATACATATCTTTAACCAAACGAGGATGCTTTTGATGCATTTCATCAACAATCATAAAAGAAACCTACACAAAAGAACAAAGAAAATGTTTATATTTCCAGGAAAATTCTACAAAAATACTGTAAATTAAAAATAAGCAACAATAAAAGATTTAAAAAAAAAACCTACTAATATTCAATGAAAAGCTCAGAGATCTCTTAAACAGAGAAGTAAATTGAATTTTGGATTTCATTTTTTACAAAGTAAAACTCATAATGAAGAAAACATACAATAATGGAAAATACTATTAAATAAAAAATAATTAATGAGAAAGATTACAGGATCATAAATTTGGTCTGGAGAAAATTATGGCCAGATTTTGTCACAGGCAGATATTTTGAGGGATTATATTATGCCTCTAAATAAAATTTTGGAAATCAAAAATAAATCATGGAGGAGTCACTAGAGGATCATAAAAATGAATACAATAGAAAAAAAAATGTAATACCTTCAGAATTAAAAAAATTAAAAAAAAAAAAAAAAAAAAAAAAAGAGGGGGGGAAAGAAAAGAAAAGAAAAAAGGGGAGATGTAGTGAATAAAGTGGTTTCAGAGGAAGAGGCATAAAGAAATGATGAGCCTAGTTCTTTAATCTGTGATAGTTTGTGTAAAATGGGGTATACTGAAAACTTTTAACAAAATGATATCATCCTGATAAAATAGCAGCAAATTACTGCAAAGCATTTTCAATGACAATGCCATGTCTTACTTCCAGATTGTTTTAAACCCAGACAACAAATCACATGGTACAAATTTTGAATAAAACAGAGGCTCAGTGTGCATACCTCAAGCAGAGTTGAATGAAACTAAAAGATAAACCACAGATGTATAAAAAAATTGTTGAAGGGAGCTTCTCATTCAAGCATTGCTTCTCTACCATTTTCCATTTATACTGTCCGCTATTCCTCAGACAGATATGGTAAAATTTAACTTTCCTCTTTTTTTTTTTTTTTTAATCTCTTAAATGCCATGCTTATATTTGTTTTTGTTTTAATGATTTCCGTTAAGGGTTATAAATTTCTGCAAAAAGTACCATTATACATTTTAAGTAAATGTTCATTAGTGATCCAGAAATGGATTAATTAATCTGGCATCAATTATTGTGAGAAAATAGATCTGGTGTATGAACATTTCAGATAACTTTAGGGACAGGACAAAATATTGGGACATTTGTCACTGGGCATTAGGATTTGAAAAAAGGATTACTTGCTACCAGATTGGAACAAACTTCTGTAATCTCTTAGCCAGCATGCAGAAATATTTTACTGAAAGTTTAATTATGTTACATTTTTCACAGAAAATGGACGAAAAGGAAGAGAGAGTGTGTGTATACGTATGCATGCATTTTCCTTGCATTATGGGGAAACAGTGGCATGCAGAGCCACCAAATTTTGAACACACATAATCCTCCTCAACATGCACACCTCAAAAACCTGAATTTTAAATATCTTTACTTATTTCATATTTGGGGCGAATTCAGTGAACTTCTGAATAAAAACTCAGCAATTTCATTGTGTTATGTTGTCACTAGATAAAGTGTAAGATACCGGGTTTTAACAAAAGTTTCCCACCACCGTAAATATTGTCTGCGCAAACAGTTCCCATTGGCGTGTATAATCCTATTTTGTCAAATGATGTTTGGCATTTGAAAGAAAGAGACTTGTTTTAGAACACTGTGTTTTGAAATTAGTAAAAAAATATAGTTATATCATTAAGTACAACGTGTCTGAAATGGAACTATCATGCTACCAGATTAGAACCATTATTTACTTCTGGTTCTGTTGCTAAAGTAAGTCAGCTAAAGAATGTCACCAAATCATGTGTACAATTTTAGGTCTAATTTTGTATCATGTGATGCTATGAAGGTATGGTACCATTAAGTACAAGGTGTCTGAAATGGAACTATCATACTACTAGATTAGAACCATCCTTTATTTCCAGTTCTTTTCCAAAGTCAGCTAAAGAACGACATCAAATCATGTGTATAGCTTTAGGTACTAATTTTGTATCATATGACACTGTGAAGGTTTAGTACCGAAAGTTCAGAAACAAGGATTATGACATTCAAGAAGCAAAGTGCTCTGGCATGCCTGCAAGAACCTGTGGAATAAGATCAGTATGCAAAGGAGTTCTACATTAGTGCCATGCTCATTTGTTGGACAATGAATCACATAAACTTAACATACAAGTTCAATCACTGGGTGCTGCATGAACTGACTCAAGCAGAAAAGGATAGATGTGTTTGGGTCTGCACTAATCTGCTTGAATATCAACACAAGAACAAAATTCTGGACCGGATGATTCCCTTGGGCTGGAAAGTGGATTTACTTCAACAACAAAAGTCAAAATAGGGTTCGTTTGTGCCAGGTGAGCCCGTCGGCAGCATCGCAAAGCGCAATTTGACTAGCTAAAAGATCATGCTTTGTATCTGGTGGAAGTGCAGTGGTATCATCCACAAAAAGTATCTGGAAAAAGGTAAAACCCTCGACAGTAGGGTGTACAGTGAGATGAAAGTAAGTGTTGACGCTGCTATCAAAGAAAAATGAACTGCGTTCCCATGCGAATAGGTAATGTTCCATCAAGATAATGCATGTGTCTGCATTCACCAGCTGGACTTTGTACAGACTTGAATGGGATCTTTTGTCAGACACCCACCATACAGCCCTGACATCGCTCCTTCAAACTTCTACCTTTTTTCACCTCTGCAGCTACATCTTGCTGGTGCTTTCTTCCATTCTGCATGAGACGTACGAAATGAGGTTAATTTGTTTTGACTCACCACCACAAGTTTCTGGGCTGAAGGTTTTGAAAAACTACCAAAACATTGACAGAGAATCATTTGGATGATGGTTACTACTTGCAATAAAGGTACTACTTTCATGTATTTTTTTTCTAAATTTATTAAAAACAGTTTTTAGTGGGAAACTTTCGTTACAACCAGATATTTACATTTCAAATTTAATCAGAAAATTCAGCAATATGAAAGATGTGTGCTTAGAAAACTTGGCAAAGCACAATATATTTCTCTTTTGAACTTAATCACACTGTAGGAAGATGGTTGCACTTTCAGCCACCAAAATTTGAACCAGCTCACGTGCACCTTAAAGGCTGAATTTTGAAATTTTCATTTCATATTTTGCGTAAATTTGAGGAACTTTTGATTATAAACTCAGCGGAAAATCTTTATATTGCCACTTGGCAAAAGAATAAGATATTGATTTTTCAAATTGAATCAGAAAACTCAGTGATTTAAAAGAAATGTTCTGCCACTCAGCAAAATGCAATATATTTAGTTTTTTAATTTAATAAAAAACTCAGATATTTAAAATAGCTAGATAATATTTAGTTCCCCCCCCCAAATAAAATTATTGTTACTAATTAAGAAACTAGGATTTAAAAGCAATAGATGAAGATTCATTTAAATTATTAATAATTACTGGCTGAACCTGAGAAATTACATTAGCTGAATTTATTCAAATCATTCACTATAGTTTTCTTTTTTATAATAACTATTTTAGGCAGCTGGCCATGTAAGAGACTAGAAAATATTAAATATATCTTTCTGGAATCAAAATAAATATTAATTTTCAAATAGAATAATGATATAGTCCTGCTTATATAAGGCATGTAGTATTTTGGGAAAAAAGTATTCTCTGCATTTAAAAAGTTAAATACAGAAGTCAGCATACACTTTTTTTATATTTCTTTAATAAACATAATACTAAAGCTAAAAAATCATGCATTGTTAAAAATATATATTATGAAATCTTTTAAAATGCAATAGAGTTTAAATGGTTCATTAGAGGAACAACAAGTACATTATTTCATACCCTTTGATTACTTACTTGCAAATTTCTATCAAGACACCAATTTAATTCGAAATCATCATCATCTTCCCCAAATGGATTAATCAATTGCTCAGCCACCTGTAGGGTAATCAAACAAATTACTTTTATATACAGAAGAAGATTAAATTTTAATTTAAGCAAACAAAAATTATCATTAAAAGAAAAAAAAAAAAAAAGAAAAAAAAGGAACACAGACTAATACTAATTTTAATATGTATTAATGAATTTCTTAATGAATTAGACTATTTTAAAAATTCTACCTGACTTGCCTTTTTACTAATAATTAGCTCTTAAAAATTGGAGTAAAAATGTTAACTTGATAAAAAAGATGAAAGATTATGGATATTCTAAATCATTAAAAAAGAAACATAACAATGAAAACATAATATCACTAAATTCAAATTCTCTGCAATCAAACTGTGTAATTTAACACAAAAAATGTTTAAGTATAAAAATGTCACAGAACCGAAATTTGAAGACAACATTATTTGACAAAATATAAAACATTTTTCTAAGATATAGTGTTCACATCTCGTCAAAATAGTCAAACCTCATACATTATATTTACTTCTATGATTTAGTCATAAATACCTGAAAAACAATTTATAAATATATGTTTTAACCTGAAAATTTCCTTTGGCTCATGAAATTTTTGCATAAATTCTATTAATTATTTACATTTAGATATATATATCTGTTCTAATTATGTATTTTAAGAATTTCTAGGCTAATAAAAGTTTTTAAATGAAAAAAAAAAAAAAAAAAAAACCTCTAGTCTAGCAATTTAAAAATGTTTTTGATTTCTTTTCTGAATCAATAATACTTCAATTATGAAAGATACACATTACCAACATTATATAAAATACTCTCTGGACCACTCCTGAGACTGATCAATATTTCAAGCAAACAGCATGTTTTATATTTAGCATTGAATATAAAATTTTTGCATTTCATGGATACCACAGTCAATATAATGTATGCATTAAATACAAAATTTAAAAAACAGTTCAGTGCAAGGAAATAATAAAGAAGAAAATGTATCAACACTCAAATATTTTATTCTTGTCATATATAAAGCAGTAAAATTTCATGACCACTTTAAATAAAAATTAAATAATCAATGACACTGACAGCAATGAAGTTTTATTCACAAAATACAAATAACATAATCACCCAATTAAAAATTTAATACGATCAATATATTGAATTCCTGTATCTAACACAACCCAAAGTAGTAACATACATTTATTATTCAAATCTTTAACCTCAAATTTCTTATCATCCTTTTTTAAAATCACAGTAAAGAAGAATATAAATCTAGCATCACTGTTGATCAATAATTTTTGGTTGCTTCTCTTATTATTTGAAGCAAAGGCTCAAATACTGAGAAAGTCCTATGATTAAATAGTAAGTATCATTCTGTATGACACCTTGTACTAAATAGTTGTTTATAATATTATGTATAAATATGTACTTGCTGTATATAATATTAAAATTTTAAATGCTGAGCATTGAAATTTAATGAAAAATGCAACTGCAACTAACAAATGCCAATAAAAAGCTTCTTGTAACTTTAAAACTGAAATTATCTTAATACAGTACAAAGTCCAAAATCCAGACATCCATTATCCAGAATGATCTAAAATCCAGACCTCAAAGGCACAAATATTTTTTTTTTATATATGCTTTACACATGCGCATTTTATTTTCCCTTCCATAATAAAACATGTGGAAATTTTCACTTAAAAATTCCGATTCTTAATTTCACTTAGGCACTAAATAAAATACATCGTTATGGAAAAACAATCATGTAAGCATAAATTTTGTGAGATTAATAATTTGGCTCCATAGCTGAGTATCTGCTTGGCATACATCTCAAACCGAAATATTCACTTATTTTATATCCCTGACGCCGACCTGGCGAGTCATTATTTATTACATTTTGCTTTCATCATCACATGTTTATCAATACATGACAGCTTCAGTAATAACTCATACAGTGATGTCTAAACTTTTTTTTATATTAGTAATTGAATAACAAGAGTATGGTCACTTTTTATGCTAATATTATGCTTGGCAATGATTATAGATTTTTAAATGCTCTAAGAAATGTTGACGAGGAAAAATTCAATGAAAATTTCTTTTCATATGCTAAAAATAGATTTTTGTTAATGAAACTCATAGGCCAAAAGGTTACATTTAGTGCTATTTTAATTAAGAATAACTGATATATTATTCATCATAAACCCAGAAGCGGCGGCAGAATATGTCGGTATCAGACGGCAGGATTTAGGGAAGACGAAATTTTTGGAATTTGCAGAAAATTAGCGGCAAAATTAAGGGATGAGAAGTTTTTTATGATATAGGGAAAGCACTGGGATCCAAAGTTTAGGTGCGGTGAAAATTTAGAACTTAGGAAGGTGCTTTGTAGCAGAATTTAGGACCCACAGAGACTGCGCCAGGCGGTATCTAACGTCGGCCCTAGATAAAGCCTTAAATATATGTGGGAGTTTATTTATTCAGGACTCAGACTAGTTTTAAGCATGTGCAAGAAATAAACGTAGGTATAGTAAATAACTATATACGTATAGTAAATAACAATTCAGGCTTAATTCAATACGCAATAGGAGCAAGACAAGACTTAGCGAAACAACTTGGCTTTCATCACCAATCTTGTGATACACAGCCAATAATGTATAACGGACGCTATTAAGCTAGGCTAAAATCACCTTTACTGTTTCTAAGGCAGTTAATGTAGCAGACTACACTGCTCCCTAATCTTCTAATTTGATCCAGCTTATTATTTTTGCAGACTGTTTTTCCAAGTCTGGAGCTGCAAAAGATCTACAAAGCAAAACCATGTATCGATGTACATTAACCCATAACAGGGAAGGTCAAATATTGAGACGTAACCGGGCACGTGTGGTCACAGAGAACGCGTCTCGTTATGATTTAAATAAGAAGATTTATTCCAAATATTAAAATTTTATTTTACCCATATGTTCTATAAACATTTATCTTCAAACAGAAATATATATATATATATATATATATATTACAAAGAAATCAATCAACACAAGGAACGTCTTTTATGCAACATGAACTTTTTTTTACGAAAAACCACTTGCAAGTGTAAATTATGCAAAACAAACCAGAATATCTATTATTTTTATGACTAATAATTATTTTCCATTAATTTACCATATGATAGATATATTCAGATGAGAAATATAAATATTGTACGTAACATAAAAAAAAATTGACAATGCCTTAACTATCTATTTGTAATATCATTGTGTTCTTGCAAAAAATATCAATTTACTCAGCATATTTTTGTGCACATTCGTGACATAATTTTTGTGTACATACCAAACAAACTGGCGTTTTACAACTTACGAAAAATATGAAGGTTTCAGTTCTTTCTTTTTTTCTAATATTTCATTTGTGAAAAGGAGTTCCCAAACACTTTTAGGATCCGTATTTTCACCCAATTTTCAATATGCTTTTAATCCTGGAAGATGAACTATATTATACACAGGAGTTCTCACATTTTGTTGAGGTTAAATAGATGGCCACTTGAAACGGTTTCTCCCATAATAATATTTTGTAGATGAAATGGCTTCAGTCTCTGGTTTAGTGATTCATTGTTAGATTCAGAAAGTTCTGATATCATGGAATGTGACTTTTCATTTGCAAAATCTTCTTGGCATTCATCTCCGTCGCTAAATTCACTTCCTACTTCATCAAGAATTCTTTGCAGCTCCTTCTGCATAATGCGAATCAGAAGAATATATGCTATTTCTCGGACCGAGTCTCAGAGCCGTGTTTCCACCTGGGACAGAAATCGTAACACTGAGAGGGAGGTGCCTCTCTCAGACAAAGGACTAGAATTTCACAATGAAGCAGGTGCAAAAAATGTTATACCGCACCTCTCCAGTTATGGATTACACAAAAAATGGGTAAAGTGCAGAATCGCCCTTTTATTTGTTTGGTGCTTTTTACAAGAGTAAGAAGAATTGGATTTTGTCAATTTTGTTTGTCTTAAATAAAACTAGGTCAATGTGTACATGGATAAAGTCAAGGGAGTGCGCTGATGTGTACGTGGATACCGAGTATGCGCAATTCTTAAAAACGTGCTAAGCAGTGGGTGATTCAGCACATTCCCCCCAAAATTGGAATTGCTGCAAAAAATGAATAAAGGCATATTCGTCTCAAAATTATGCGAGGAGTATGGCATTGGAAAGTCAACTGTATACGACATAAGAAAAAGGAACTTTTTGAGTTTCTTGTGGAAGCAACTTAAACAACTTACATTGAAAGAAATTTTAATAAAGTAAACAAATAAATATTAAGCTATTTTTTGTAAATTTGATACCCTTTAGATCATAATTGTTCTTTATTTCATAAATTACGATTTCATATTTTTAATTGTATAATTTCTACATGCCATCTTACCAGATTTAAATTTATGATCTAATACCCGGAAAAATCCCAAATCCGTAATCACCGAAGACCCGATGAGTCCAGATTTCGGACTTTCTACTGTATTCCCATAATAAATTAATGATATATTAGTAGAAATTATTATCAAAACATTTGTCAGAATTTGTAAATATTTGAAATTTTTAAAAAATTCTCTTCCTAATTTCTCCTATTTGAAAAACATTACTCAATTAATGGTTTAATGATGAAATAATAAAAAAACATTAATCATTATCAAAATTAATTTAACACGTTGACTGCCACGCGCATTTGGCGTGGTTTGCCCATGAAACCAACTTAAAATTTTTATTATGCTATGTATATATGTTTTTTATTATGCTATGTATATATGTTTTTATTATGCGATGTATTATGTTGAAATAGTATCTACAGAAGATAATATGCGTTATATAATCGTGCTTATGGCATTTTTCGTGGTGGTAGTTACCGGTGACCCCCAAGGCGCTTTGTGATTTATAATTTAAATTTTTACGATTTATTATTTTTCAAACCATTATAGTAACAATGGTGCCATTTAATAATTTATCAGTATCAATATTTACTCTAATTATGTATTTTACTATTGGTCATGTCGCCGGTCACCCACGGCACTGTAGCCAAGTTGAGTGCCGTTCACCTGTGACCCCCATGGCAGTCAACATGTTAAAACAAAACCAAATAAATTACAGAATTTGGAATATTTAAAGCTACATTTTATATGTAGTAAATCACGTCAGAATAGTTTATCATGAAGTATAACACGAGGGAAAGAAATATGTCCATTCATCCTTTAAAAATCTAAAATCTTAAGAAACAATATATTTCAACAAACAAACAAAAAATATTATATATAAAGAGAAGTAACATTACCTTCAGCCAACCCATGTAGAAAAAGAACTGCAAGATAGTAAAGATTGGAATATATAAATCCACCTCATGCCCAGGATATCCTTTTAGTGGATCTAAGTACTGCCTCCCCATAACTGTTGCTAAGAAATACGTGTAAATTGCCAGAGTTACAACCTACAAAAATTTCAATTAGCATTTTAATCCACTGGTTTTATACATAAAATTTATACCTATATTAACTATATACTCATGCAAGGTTCTTTTAAAGAATATTATACTTTTACCCCCCCCCCCCGAAAATAAAGAGAGAAAGAAAGAAAGAAATCAAACTGCAATTTTCTCTTTCAAATGATTTATTCAAAGCGGTAAATAATTTCATCTTCCAACACTTGTTAATTAACAGCTGTTTTAAATTTTTTTTAAAAAAATCCTTACATAAGAAGTAGCACAGAATCACAAATAAGGTAATCTTTTGATTCACAAGAATATGTAACAGAAATTTCTTCATTCAAATTTAATTCAAAATTTTGATGATAATACAAGTTTTGAGAAATAATTTTTGTTTTAATTCTCACTAAAATTAAAATTTTCCTTTCTTTCTCAACAAGCAGACTAATTCTGAAATTTTATAAAGAAACTTAAATAGTTTGCACTTTCTGAAACTTCCACATAAAATTATGGGGTAGCTACAGACACTTAAAAATGATGCCTCACTTTAAATTATTCTTAAAATTTCAATATTGTTTTCCATTTTTATTCTTTTTTATACTTAAAAGCTCTAGAACAAGGTTTCTTAAACTGTGGGTTGCCAAAAATTTTAGCAGTTTCGATATTTCTTTAACTTATTTTAATAATTTTACAATTACCAAATATTTTTACACAATGTATCTGAAAATAGATAAGACAATACAGACAAAGAAAAAACGAAAACGTTTCGACGTATTTCTTTTATAATATAAACATACATTTTCCTTGCTTTGCATGTTACACTGTCATTTCCTCTGTTACTTATTTAAAATTGTAACACTGCTCTATGTCTTAAAATTTTTAAATTAGAAATTAAAGTGAATGACTTAAAACTGCAATAGTATATTACCGTACAGGTGAAAAAATTGACAGTTTCACTCACCCGTGAATCGGATTTGCATATTATTTATAGGGTCCCACAAAATTTTTGTAAATATTATGGGGTTCTGGGGGTTCCAAAAAAATCTCAGTGATAAAAAGGGGTCACAAATGAAAAAGGTTTAAGAAACCCAGCTCTAGAACATTAAACTGCACCTCTCTTTCTTTAAGAATGCCAGTCCGAAAAGGTCAGAAGATAAGTTATATTTTGTACAGCAGTGTAGTGTTGTTGTTATACATAAGGATACAAAAGAACATTTAAAACTAAGGCAGCTTCTGTAACTTTCTATTGCTTAAAATTACTATATATTCCTATTCCCTTTTCTTAAATCATGAGTGAAACAAACTCAAAAAAGTTCTTTGCATAAACTGGCCAGCTTTAACAAAAAATTAGCAGAGTTTGTGCTGCATTAAAAGTTACATTACACATTCTTCTAAATAAATTGCACTTAAGTTGTATGGGTACTGTCATTTATTTCAATAAAAATTGTTTACATACTGGAGATACAATATATGAAATAATTACATCAGCTACAAAAGAAAAATCCCTTATTAAATTTTTCAATTATAAAATTAAAAGAAAATGAATTGTTCTTTTTTTAACTTAAACTGCAAGATGAAATATGGGATACGTAATAAAAAATAAGATGCTATATAACAGATATTTCACACGGTTTTTAATTTACAGAGAGCAAGCTGTACTTTAGCCCATAATTCAGAACATATTTATTTGACATGCATTTCTCATTTAACACACCATTAGAAACAATTTTGATATTGAATATAAAATGCTGTTTAACTGTTGGTTTTAGAAACATGCAATTTTATGATGTAGCTTTATAATATACTATATTTAGTATAAATTTAAAATACATCAAGAAGAAAAGATGCATTTTGTAGTTGATGACAAAGGGTATCTTGGAAGATAACCTTGTCATATCTACGCATTAACATCCTGAACAGTTTTAGAAATAAGTATGAAATGTAAATATATAATTACCTGAGTATACACTAGAGGTATGCTAACCCAATCATAACTGAATAACATCCCACAATTTCCACGGAAAACATGCATTTCCTTCATGGAAAAAATTACTTTGTTAGTTAAATAAATAGCCAATAGCTACATACTTACAAATTTTTAAAAAGAAAAGAATGTAAATTTTAACATAAAAAGCAAAGTACATAAAAAATTATCCATTTTTAAAAGTAAATCAATTACATTGAGTTATAGAAACAGTTAGTTCACAGACAGAATATTTTAAAGTAATAAACAACTTAAATAATTAATTCGAGAACTTTAACTCAGCTAACATATTTTTAAAATGATACTAAACAAAGTGGCAATCATTCAGATAGGTATAAATTCAAATCCATTGTGAGAATATTTTACAGAACAATATAATTTCCCCAAAGAAATACTTACATTTCCAAAAAAATATTTCAGAGCTTGAGGCAGATTTCTAAATATCATGATAAAATTAAGTTTTATAATAAAAAAAATAAATTTTTTTCAGTACTTTAAAAAAAAAAAAAAAAATTTCTCATTCACGGCCTATCAAACTTCAACTTTTTTTTTTTTAAATATATCCTTCTGATTATAGTTTTTATCCATCTTTAAAAGTTATACAATTTAGAAATTAGAAATACTACATAATATTCAGAAAACTCTTTCTTACATCTAACAGTGCTTGTAACAAAACATCATCCTTAATGCGGCCTTCTTTTCTTGCTCTTGCAGCAAGAGCAGAAAACCACTGAGCTGGAACCCACCATTTCCCATGTGTCACTTGTATTTCATCATATACTCTTCTTTCTTCTTTTGTCATTAGTCCTAAAATATTCAAAAGAAAAATAAGAAACACATCATTTTTAAACCTACATAAAGAGAGGAAACTAGAATACATTTGGTCAATGGCAAAACATATATGTAAAGGAGATTTTCAGACAGTTATAGATTATGTCATTATTATAAATAGGATGAGGCACAGTGGCTAGTGCATCAGAAAGCAGCACTAAAGGTCTGGGATTTGATTTCCGGGCTCAGCAAGGCTATGCCATTATTACGAATAAGCACGTGAGGCCAAATGGTGCAGTAGCTAGTGCGTTGGTCAGCAGCACTACAGGTCTGGGGTTCGAAGCTGGGCTGGGCAAGCCTGACTTAGCATTTAAAATTTTGAATGGGTCGATAAAATGAGAGTACCAAGTTTTCTTGGAGACTGAACACTGGGGGTCCTATGACAAGCTGGCCACTTGCCCAGGGTATATATGCTCCTGCACTCAGGGGCCCACAGTCAAGAAAGCAGCTATCAGGGCACTGCAGGCCATGGCTGACTAAGGACTGTTCCACCACTGAATTCAGTTTAGTTTATTAATAAGCACAGCCAATTAAAACAGATGTTACACCTGCAGTAACTTATCACTATTATAATAATTTCAGTATTGTCCATCATATGAAATGACTATCAATATGAAAGTTGTTGGTGATCCTGCCATAGATGTAGCAATTATTGCTGCAGAATTCTGAAGGAACAGACACCTCTTCACTTAACAATCCCACATTACTCTATTTACTTATATAATAAACAAATAAAAATTGCAAATTTGCATATAAAAAAACTTGATGTATACACCATGACTTCTTTGTATGGAATATTAAATTATACGTATTTTTTCTGCATTTCATTTAAATTTATTTCCTCAAATTTCATTACAGATGTATTTCTCATTCAATTAATTCAATTTTCACTTTGCAACAAGGCAAAAATACATAAAAACCTCAAAATATCTTTATTAACCTTCCAGCATGCGTGCCTGGCAATTTTTTACAATATATGTTATTTTACAGTTTTTGGTATAAAAATGACAGAAATGGGTGAATATTGATAAATTTATCAAGAAATAAAATATTAACCTTATTATTGCAAAACACAAATGATGTCACATTAAAATGAAAGTAAATTTTTAAATACTTATATCAGTTATGTGGAAAGGCAATGAATGATGTATTTCATTAAAAATTTATTCTTTAAAAACTATATTTTAATATCCAAGCTAGTTTTAATATTCATCTGTCCTGTATTGTTGATTTATCACCGAATCGAAGACAACTTGTCAGAAATAAAAATCTCTTGTAGCTCATCACAGCTCTTGTTGTTCCAGTGCCATCACTTAAAAGCAATTCTTTTTTATTTGCATGCTGTCCTTTTTTTATTCCTATCATATATAACAATTCGCATCATGCCATCATTTCCACTTTTGAGGTAACAATTCAGTCTCTGTCTGAGTATTTGCCTTTTAGCAAACTTATATATTTATCTGTTCATTCTAAAATTTCATCAAGCATATTTATATCAATTATTTTCAAAAATGATCCTATTTCATTCTCTATATCCTTGGCATAGCATTTTAGGCCAGGTAACACTTTCACACTATTTATTTTATTCAACTTTGAGCAGTTTGGATACTTCATACTTCTGTTTTCGTCAATTTGAAGATTTATCCTTACTCACATCATCATCATTCATTTTTTCTACATCATTATCATCATCATCTGAAATTTATTGTTCAAATTCATTGCTGATATTAATTTATCACTATATTTTCCTCACTCAAATCATTATTGTTCTCACATCCAAAGGTTTCCTTGTCTTCTTTTTCTTCATCAGATAATTCTTGAAGAATGCGAGTAAAATCAGCTGGTTGCACATATTCTTTTTGCCATGAAAACTGATATAAGAAATATATGGTCGAATTTATACAAATTAAAATAATACACGTCAATTAATAAAACAAAATTACAAAATATTTCAAGAGAAAAATATGTTTCGAATTTTCACTCAGGACCATGCGCATGCCGTAACTTTTACACAGAAGCTGCCATGTAGCACTAAAGCCCAGTAAAAAAATGGCCATATATGTTCTTATTGGCACATTCCGTGATGTGGGGAAGAATTGAAAGGAGGAATAGAAATGACTTTCAGACGTCTCCGCTGAGATATGCAAAAAATACGCAGTAAAAACCGAATTTGTCGTAAACTTTGTGTATGACACACATGCTAGAAGGTTAAAAACTGAAAAATATAAAATATCAAATACAGTTAAAACAATTAGAAAAAATTTTACAATTATAATTAGAGTTAAACCTAATTTATATAAATTACCTTCTCTTTAAGCATCTTTTCTAACAATAAGAAACTTGTTTAAATATGCAAACCAGTGTTCCCACTAGTTTCTGCGTCATTCCCTAACTTTCAATGTTTCTACAATATACCTATGAGGTTTTACTTGATCTAGTAAAAGTTAGTATTCAAAACCCCTAACACACATGAAGTAAATTATCACCATGTCTGAAAGTAACTACAAAATCAGATAAAGATTTACATAAACTTCTCTATTTAAACTGAGCTTAGACTATAAAATAATGTTCTTATGCTAACGAAATCAGCTACAGCTTATGGTGATGTAATTAAACAGGAACGGTCTAATTCAAATTAAAAATATGGACTAGTCGTCCAAGACTACAAAATTTAATTTTAATCTAAGCTGGCTCAGAGACTCATTGTAACAAATTCAAATGTTGGCAGCAGTAATAGAAAACCAAATAATTAGAAATTATGAGACCTGGCAAGAACTAATGCAGCATGCAAGTGGAGGCCAGAAACATGCTCTGTAAAAACAAAAAAACCTCAGTTTAAAGACTATCTATCTAACATTCTGGTGAAGAAATGGAATAGAGAAGTTATAATAAAGGCTGAAATTATAAACGGCTGGATAATTTACATAATAATGACTGTACACATCCATGAAAAATTATTTTCTTTCTCATTATGCATTAATTTTTCCCCTTGATAAGTTTCCTCTTCATTTTAGAATTTTTGGATTCAATTAAAGATTTCTGCTAGTCTAAAAAACTACATGTATTTAGAATGTATATGTTCTAATTTTATTTCTTTAGTAACATGAATATTGAGAATAAATATGAAAAGATATATATGCTCAATACCAGTTACAGAGCCGGAGCAGCAGAACTTTCAGAATTTAGTGACGCACCTACCAACACTGGGAGCAGAATTTAGGGAGGCACCAGGCAGCAGAACTTAAAGACTAATAGAGACTGCATGTTGCGGAAAATGCTTAGTGCCAGCTCTGTGTGTGATGCACTGAGATACACAAGATGAATCTTTTAAATTGTTAGTTTTCAATTTCTTTATTAACAGAAAAATTCCCTTTTATAGATGCCTGTCCAAAAGAAAGATTAGAAGCACTTTTGATATGTTCCATGCTTGTATCAAGTGAAAAGAAGAGAAAATAAATGGAAGATAAACATGTTAAGAAAAGGAAAGATAGAAGTTAAATTCTTCTAGGATTAGAAGTTAAATACAGTACAAAGTCCGTAATTCGGACGTTCATAATCCGGAATGATCTATAATCCGGACCTCAAAGCCACAAACTTACACATGCGCGTTTAATGCGTGCATCTGCTACGCATGCGTGTAAAGCGTTTGCCCATGCGTGCTGAAGAAAGTGACAGAGAGGTTATTGAAAACGAAAAAAATTTCAATTGACAAGTTAGTCTGTATTCTCGACACAGCAATTACAGGACTTGAACAGTGGAACTTTGTAACTGAACAATAAATTATGTCTGTTTATAGAATTAAAGAGAAAGTATTAACACAAAAAAATGTAACAACTTAAACAACTTATATTGAAAGAAATGTTTAATAAAGTAAACAAATAAATATTAAGCTTTTTTTTTGTAAATTTTGATACCCTTTAGATCATAATTGCTCTTTATTTCATAAATTATGGTTTCATATTTTCAATTGTATAATTTCTGCATTTCATCTTACCAATTTTAAATTGATGATCTATAATCCGTAAAAACCTTTAATCCGAGATTGCCGAAGTCCCGATGAGTCCGGATTACAGATTTTGTACTGTAATCACAAAAGAACTTTACAACAAGTTTGCCTGAAACCGGTCAAAAGCAAGTCTTAAGCAGCAGCGGTAGCCATATCTCAACTACCAACCAGTATTTTGTCCTTGCACGCAGATCTAATGCTACGAAGGAACGGCAGATTGCATGCCATCCGTTAAAGGCAGAACACAAGAGGAAATGAGTGCAACTTTCCACTGAAGAATTAAATGAAGTGCACAAATGAATCCATCACGTCTGCTCTGGAGTTGGAGCAGCAGCCAAACCCTCAACCCGTACACAGCCAAACTCAATACTTCCTGAGAGGCTTTTGTACCAAGGTCTACCACCAAACAGAAAAAAAAAAAAACTGCCTGTGCAAACTTGGCACAGAACAGCCCCGAGTCAAACCGGTACAACCCGATTTCATGATTGACCAGAACAATTTCGAACTTCCATGCTTGAGTGAGAATCAAGATACAATGTGATGCATATTCTCATCAACAACATTATGTTTTCATTGTTCTTCTAAAAAGTAAGAAATTCATCACAAATGTCCTGTAAAATACATCCATTACTTGCTAATTCCATGAACACCTTTTTCAGTAATCTCCTAGAATCGTAGGTCTATAAATGATGCCGTCAAACCCTTCTAAACCTTCCAAAGTGGAATATACCCCTACCAATCCTAAAACAGTAAAAAAGTCTGAAAAATTAGTTTCAAACAAGAATCTAACATACATTCTGAGAATTCTGAAACAATTCTTAACTTAACAAAACTCTTACCATGAAAAATGTAAAGAAGACATTTAAAGGGGAAAAAAGTCAAAGATTTCACATTTTACATTATTTATATAATTTATATTATATTATATTAAAATTCAATTCATCAGTAATATCACAAAATATTTAAAAGAGAATATCTTTAGAATTTTCGATACACAGTCTCGTATGCTTGAGATAAAAATGTTTTTTTTTTCATACAGTGTTGCCATTGCTTGCTTTGAAATCCTTGAGTTTGTTAATAAAAAATTATTTAATGTTTGACAAAATATGAAATAGATAATAAAAGAAAAAGAAGTGCAAAAACCATACATTTATTCATGCAGATTTTTATTATCAATAAAAGAGAATGAAAATTAAAGACTCAAAACAGTCTTTAACTATGCAAAAATATTTGCAAAGTAAGTGTAATTAAGAGATATAAAAAATAATGCTGATCAACTAATAATTAAATATACATTTTCAACTATGAAATATGTGTTAAACTTACCCGATTCCTGGACATGGTCCAAGGTAGGAAATCTTTTCTTAACAGATGTACTAACAGCTTGGAATGTTAAAACACTTAGAAGATTCAAGTAACGAGCAAGAGTTCTGCGGATAATTTTACCTCTTTCATCAGAACCATGAACATATGCAGCAATCAGCATACAAGGTCTGAAAACAAAATGAGATAACTTGTAGTAATGAGAAGAGAAAATATAACACTGTAACATTCATAAAAATTTCATTCCTTAAAAATGCAAAAGTAAAAAACTTTAAATTGGAATTAAAATATCTACCTTTTTTTAATGTACATTTCAATTTACTATCTCATCAACAATCCAGTATTTATGCTTAATAATCCATGAAACACAAATTCTGATTTAAATATTTATAAAATAAAACTCTCAGGTGTTCTGATGAATGTTTAGACATCAAACTCAAACTGTCTATAACAAATCATCAACAATTAAAGGTGACATTTGCAATAAAGAGCTGTATGAAAAATGGAAGGACATGACATGTTAAATAGGTTAACCATGCCAATTTGTTAAGTGTTTCTTAGGAAAATAAATGTCTAAACAGACTTTTGTTTGTCAAATATAAGATAATAGAACTCCATGGCATTGTACACAGCAGCAAAACCTCTCTTTCGACTCCAAACAAATTTCACTCTTTGAGAATAGATTTGTTCATATCTGCACACATTTACAAAGTCAGAACATGTCACATGTGTTTGTCTTTCTCATAACATAATGGGATTGTGGAGTTTGCCTGGCATATAGAATATGCCAGCTGTGCAGAAATAAGTAGTTTTGTCCAACAATACAGCATACAAAAATTCACATTCTATGAAGTTGTATTTCTTAATTGGCCTAATTTCATGAAAATGCAGTGTGAAAAATTGCATGCAAAGTGTTAGAATACAGATTGGAAGTTGGTTTAAAGATAGCAAAATTTCGTTAACAGCAGCCATTTCCTTTATTTATTGTTGGCAAGCACGCAAAACAAAGGTTATGTGTGATGGCAAATTTCTGCAATTTAAGTGAAAATAGATGGCTGTATATGTGAGGAGAATAACAGTAATAATAATAATAATAATAATAATAATTTACTAATTAAGTTTCTTGATTTTTATTTTATTGACTAACTGTTCTCTTATGGAATTCTTAGAATGGCACCACTTTCAAAATAGCTCTTTCTTGCCTTTGGTACAACAGCTTGGTGAAAAAAGATGCATTTCTTGACATGTGTACAACTTGGGCAGGCATATATTTTGCTCAAATATAGAATGCGACATCTTGTGATTTCAGATAGTACCTGAAAGTGATGGTCACCACATTTTGCTGTCACCAAAATTGTAGGATCAAATATGTAGCTACATGTACAATTTATTAATAAAATGCCTTCTATTAGTGATATTTAGAACTAACTTAGGTTTTTGCTAATCATCTTTTCTACATACAGACAGCTCTACTCTTTTCTGATAAATGGTTATGGTTGTATACAGCTCTGAATAGAGGAGCTTTAACAATGAACACTCTATATGTTTAGAAGTCATAATTATTTGAATTTTTAATGAATATTTCTAGCCTTTTCCAGCAAATTTGTCCATTACTGTTAGACTTCAACTTGACATTTTAATATATATTTCTACTTTCTTCTAATATCATTATTTCCATTACTGTAATAGGACTGGCATTAACAAAATTCAATTACTACTTCTCAATTTAATAAACTTGTGGGGAAGGAGAAGGAAAAAAACACTTTTAAAAATAATCTGTTTCTTATTTTGAAAACTTTAAGAAAACTTCATATTTAAGCAAAATATATGACAGAAATCATCTACTGACCAAAACAAAACAAATAGGAAGAAATAACCACTCTTACAGGATAGTAGTTAGTGACTTTGACCGCCATACAGAAGTGCACAAGTTCAAATCTTGGAGAAGGCATTGTTGTTCATAAATGTATAGTGTCTCTGCGACATAGGCACACTCTAAATATATGGCAAGCTGAAAGTCCTCTCTCATGTGGCTCGGTGGTAGGGAAGAGGAGCGGGAGACCACTGCATCCCAGATGTGCTCGACTGAATTCAGATCAACTGACCTTGATGGTCATGAAAGCACGTGAAGGTCTGTGGAATGTTCATCCAACTATTCCGATACAATTCGTAAGCAATGGCACAGTGCATTGGCTTCTTGAAAGATAATCTCTGTAGTGGGCTGTCAAAAACAAATATACAGGATCTCTGTCAAGGATACCCCGATAATGTTCGATGTCACATTTCCCAGGGGTTCTATTTCAGACCATGTAAACACTTTCTGGACAAGAATACCATCTCTACCCAGCTTGAAGAGTCCACTGCCGGCAGGAAGGATCTATCGTTTCATGTGGTTTATGCCATGTACTCTGCCATTGGCATGTACCAAAGTGAAACTTATCATTCCAGGCAACATTTTTCTAAATCTCGACGGTCCATTGGCAATGTTCCCATGCCCATACTAATTGCTGCACCACCATATTTTGTGCAGTCAGCAGACGAACACTCGTAGGACAATTACCCCATTGAAAGGAGATGATTTTGTATGGTGTGGCAGTTTACACTTTGCTGTGCACTAGCGTTAACTTGACGGGTGATCTGTTGCACTGTGGCCCATCTATTCACTGTTACGATGCAGGCCAGCCAACGATTACATCTGTCTCCACATGCTATTGTCTGCAGCAGTTGACCCTGGTAGGGATGGTTTTACCAGAATGGTACACCCTTGAAACAATGCTATGCGTAAATCTCAGTGTCTGCACTACTTCTGAAATGGAGTGACCCATTTGTCAGGCCCAAACAATTTGGTGACGATTAAATGCACTTAGATCCGTACTACTCTTGCCCATTTTGCTTTTGACTATTACTGTTACCATAAACAGCAAAAATACCTCTCGACAAATCCAAAAGACTTGTCATTTTGAAACGTGTTGTCAGCAGCCTTGAACAGTAATACAACATACATATTTCAAGCAATTATTTGGATATTTAAAATGGCCAATGGTCTTTTGATATTATTTGAATTATTAAAACAGTTCAAAGTACTGACAACACTTTTCAAATCAATGAGTCTCAGAAGAAATGGTGAAGTGGTTATTAAAACTTCAAAAGGAAATTACTCCTGTGATGCTAATGATTTTGCTTTTACTTTTGAGTTACTAAAATGTTATACAAAAGCTGCAGAGCCTTTTGTGAAATGTTCATTAAAAGTGCATTCATTTATGAAGAATATATGCATTTAGTGTATTAATTCTAGCAAACTCTTTGTAAGATTATTATTGCATTTAATATCTTGAAAAGGCCTGCAACAATCTTTTATCTTTTGTCCACGTATTTTCATGTCTAATACTTAATTGATTATGTTAAATAAAATTTTCTCGCATATCCTCCCCGACCCCAATATATCTCTGAAAAAACTCCATTTTCTCGTTACACCTCTGCAATCTCCATTCACCTCACTTCTTACAATCATTTACAAAGCTCAACCAATCAGCAGTCTCTTTACACCCATGTTACCCTGTATTCATTTAAATATTATACTTGTTCTGCTATAAATTTGAATTCCATGGACAATTTCACGATGTCTCCTTCCACGGTCATGTCATTTTTTCAATGGACATTTTGTCTTTGGTTTCTGTTTCAGCTTAGCAGAGCATTTTGTAATCATCTGGGGTGCATTTCTCTATCATCTGATATTTGCAATGATGCTCTACATTACCAGATGGACAATTTACGCTGCCCTATTCTCTCATGAATTACGCTCATGTTTATTGCTATATTCTCAACTTTGCAATGCTAGTTACAGGATAGAGCTTCAGGCATCTAGGTTAATTTGAACTACAAACTAAAACAGTCTCTTTTCTTTTCCTGATGTTTATCTGCATAACTCTTACAACTTTAAAATATTGAAAGGGTCTAAAACTTCATCCTTCAAAATTTTCTAATTTATAATAGCACATTGGACAAATCAAGTTTACAAGTGCTGTGTAAATATAATTATTTGAAAACACATGAATGAAATCAGAAGTTTGTCAAATATAAGAACATAAAATTATTTAAAAAATTATACAAATAGAAATAAAGATTAAAAATTTATTTAAGATATGCACTGATGATGTTTGGATTTAATGTTATATATAAAATATAAACAGAAATCATACTTGTCGGGCCATGGGATGGCCAAGTACTGCTGCCACCATCTTCCAACAACAATGGAAACATAAAACCCCAATACAATGACAGGGGCGAGTTAGTGAATCTCCGATATGGTTAATTTCATACACTAGAAGAAATACAAGTTTCCCATACACTGATAACATCACGCATCATCATATGATCTAAATGTTTCCCCATAAGGTACTTTTACAGATCTTTCATACTTTAACTTCCCAGGTTCTTTACTTAGAATCAACAAGGACTGTTTAAATATAGATTTAAATATATCAAATGTATTTATGTATTATTATAAATATATCATGTATTAAATTTAAATATATCAAATGCAAATGAAAGAGGCCATTCTGTGAGCAGCTTCTTTATAAGGCATACTTAAGGATCTGATTAAAGTTAAAATTATTTTAATATAATGTGATCAGACTCCATTATCAATCCAAAACAAAATAGCTTTAAGGATCCAAAATTGAAAGGAATTATTTTGCTTTAGATATAATACAATTATTTCAAACTATTAACATATGATGTGTAGTTGGGGTTTTTCAGTTACCAACATATGACAATGACACTTACAAAGATGATAATCCACACCACCAAATAGTTTGCATACAGAGAGAATAAAGAACTATTTTTTTTTTCCAAAACAAAGGTGTAGAATGCATTGAAAATGGAATTTTTCATGATATCTGTATGTACCTACACACGTATCTCACATAATTGAAAAATTATTAACCATAAAACATTGGAATTTTGTAAATGGGACTGCTAGAACATCTAGTTGTGCACTTCCCTTTGTTATTGAAATAACAGTTCCAAAACTATATATATAACCCCCTTACTCGGCCTTTATTTTTGCAATCATTGGTTGTAGTCATATACCTTTAATCACAGAAGTATTTTAAGTGACAAAAATATTCATGCTTTGCCAATGTGAAATTTTAAAAATATATATACAGTCAAAAGTCTTTAATTTGGATGTCCATAATCTGGAATGATCTATAATCCGGACCTCAAAGCTACACTTTCTGCACATGCACACAATACCTTTATGCATGTGCATATGCGTAATGAGAATGCACTAGCGAAGCATAGCGCTCCGGTTTTCATAATTTCTGAGTAGCTTTTGTCGAATTGAACTAATCTTGCATTTAACTTGCATTCTAAATTGAGATAACTTATGTGATAAACAGAGAGAATTAGATTTTTGTAGCGTTTTTAGTGAGATGAGTCACTCGGGGTCAGTGATATGCCGGTGAATCAGGATGTTCTACCATGAAAGCATAGTAAATTTTTAAATCCTTTTTTACAAATTTAATGTCTGTTTTTTCCAATTGAAACAACATTAAAATGTTTATTCAAAATAATATTATTAAGTACAGACAAAAAAAGCACAAATATACTTAGGTTCTTTGGTTCTCTGTGAAACATATCTATAGAGAGCACTTAAACTGTAGTACAGCCCACAGAAGATCATCATCTCACGGTATAGCAGCTTATAGATGCTACCACGCCATCTCACCAACAGCTTAGCAAACCCACACAGGCGAGCCTTGCTGACATTTAGTGAATATGTCACAGTCATTTTTCAAATTTTTAATTGAAACTTTTTAAAGATATAAAGAAAAATGAAACGATAATTATGAGCACTGGTGACCTATCACTGGAATTTTCTGCACATAAGTTGACAAAGAACAGTTTGCAAAGTTAGACTGGATAATAACAATACCAGTTCTACTCAATGCAAAAATATCTTTCACTTTTGTACAGTATTTAAGTATCAAGCTGATTCATAATGTAGAGAGCAACCATGTTAAGCCATTTGAGAGTAGATGGCAACATGATATTCCCATTAAATGGTAGAATGGGATAAGAATTATTCATGGATTCCATTGGCCTTGAGCTGAACTTTATCCACTTTTGTAGATGTATTTCACCAATGTGATGCCTGCTCTGAAAAGACAAACGTATACATTCAAGATCACAAATTACTCAATATGTCTTTATTTCCCAGCTTTATGCAATATATATATATATATATATAATATTTAAAAATAATAAATGAATGAAAAACTTTAGTATTTTTATAAATTCTCAAACATCTGCTAACTTATTTTTAATAAATAAATGCATTAATACAACTTTATATTAGAGAAATGCTTACTTTATGAAATATTAAATAAACCTTGTTGTTTTGGCAAAAAATTATATAAACCTCCGATTCTCCAATAATCATTAATCTCTTGTAAATTTCAATTATCAGTTAACACAATTTAAGTATTTTGAAGTTCTCCACACAGCCATTAGAATTAAGCCAGTTGCATGCATAGGCTTGTTGCAGTTGACCTTTGTGTTGAATAACATATGATTTATGTTATTGCGAGCGGCTTTTGGTTGCCTTCTAGTACATCCATCTCTTGCTTTTCTGTAGGAGGAAACAATTGAAAGGCCTTTACCTGGAACAATGTTTCTAGTCGTCAGTACTCATTTCTTTTCCCCTCTAAACTAGTATGTCTTTTTCAGCAAAGATACCAATAATGAGCGGATTAATCTCAAAACGTCCACTGAAGCACCGGCTTTATTGAATTCATGACAATTTGTTCAGACTGAAATATGTTTTCAAAATTGATTTTCTTAAAGCAGATAGCCCTCGAAGGCTTTGCCATAAATTAAATAAACCGAACAAATCAAACCAAATTCCTGCCAAAATGTGAGAAATGTATTTTTATTTCTTAAAAATAATTACACAAAGCATAAGGCCCGAGGAGCATCTAAACAGTGGTCTGTGTGCATAGAAATGAAACTTAAAAAGATATATATATATTGATAAAATATTTAAAATGATATGCTAAAAATAATATTTTCTTGTTATTTTTATGTAAATAACTTTACTTTTTCAGAATCCAATCTCATATTTTGGCAACCCATGCCAGACTTATCGAACTGGTTTACCGAAGAAAAAGCACAAGAAAAACATCAGCAGCTCAAAGAACTGATTTTGAATCTGCAAAAGAAACAACTGGCAAACTCTGCTGCAAATGCTAAAAGACCAAATCAGTTAGAAATTGTTTCTGCATCTCCTGTTACAGTACAACAGACTGATAACAGATGATAAAATAAGATCTTCATAGCATTATTATTGATTATTACCTCCGTACATTGTATCAGAAGTGTATACTGCTGTATGTAAAGTATTTAAGTATTAGAGAAAAGCTTACTTTATGAAATATTAAATAAAACTTGTTGTTTTGCCAAAAAATTGTATCAACCTCTGAATTCTCCAATAATCATTGATCTCTTGGGAATTTCAATTATCAGTTCATACAGTTTAAGTAATAATTACAAACATATGATGATTCAGAACATATCACAGTTAATCAGATGTACTACTGCAGTAAAGTTTTACATAAAATTTTACAAAATGACCAACTTTTTTTTTAATAATTTAAGACGACATATTTGGAAAGTTTGTTTGAAAGCCAGATCAAAAACATTTCACCAGTTACTTATTTATAAATGCTGAACAAAACAAAATAAATACATAAAACATACACAAACTACTACTAATAACAACTATGTAGGCCTAAATAAGTGTATCATATAGCTATTGAATTAAAAAGATGTGTTGAACTTTGATTATAGGTAGATAGCTATTATTACATTAAAATATGAAAGCTGTCTATTAAATTCAAATATAAAATTATTCTTAGGAAAACATAGCAGCCTTCACATAGGCTTTTTTCACATTCTTCTGAATATTAATAAAGAATTAAGCCACATTTTCTTTATATGAATAAAGAATTAAGTCAAAAATATCAAATTTCATAACAGAGGGGGGGGGAAGGAAAGAAAAGCATTAGAAATTCTTAACAAGGTCTGTCCGGAATTCCGCTATTTAAACTATTGTTCTTTCAGAAAACATTTTTTTCTGGCCAAAAATTTTACTAGAATTTGATGAACTTTTTATCTTTAAAACAATAACACATAACTTCAAAACAATAGTATAAAGTTCAAGTGATTTTTGCACAAAACAATAATAAAGAGCTATACCTTACGTATGCCGTAAAGTAGCACAGAAGTATAAATCATAGATTCAGTGCGAAATATAAGAACCTGTATCAATAAACGAGCACAGCACTCAGGATAAGGAAGATCAAGAGTGACGCAATCTTTTTCAAGATGAGGACGTTTTCTTTCCTCTAATTTCCGGAGACGCGCGATGATGATAATAAAAGAGTTTAGTTCTCATAAACGTCAACAGATGGCGCAAGACACGCACTAACATAAATACTTCGCTGAAATTTCTTACCAGAATCATATGATTGATACAAATTTTCCCACCTAATCTATGAATATTAAAATGCTATCGGGACTTGTATATAGTATAATATGGAATACTCTTTACAGAACATTCAATGTATAAAGATAATACAATAGACGCTTCTAAATTGTGATCGCGTTTCTCCATGACTGTTTTGATAACATTAAGAGATGAGAAAAATGTTTCTCAAACTATCAGTGGACTTTAATTTAAGGTAAAAAGAAAACTAAAAACATATAGATACGCATATTCGCAGTATTTTAATTAGGAAGAAAAGTCATTAATAGTCTTCTGGGTACTATTCGGTTTCGAGGGCCGTAAAAAATCGCCAAACTCTTGTTAATGCCAATGCTGCCAAAAATAATTGCGGCAACCCTAATAATTGCGTCAAGAAAGGAAGTATTATAGTAAATAACTATTTAAGATTGATGTTTTAATTTAGATGAAAGGTTAATTTCATGTAATACTTAATTTATTATTATAATTTATATGAAAAAGGCTAAACAGGACTGAATGAAAGCATATGAGTAAATAACTATTTCAAATCATTATTATAATTTATATAAAAATTGCTAAACATAACTGAATTTTTTGTCAATTTTCTTTTACTTTTTAAGTAAACATAGGTCGATATGTACATAGATAAAGTCAAGGGTGTGCGCAGTGCCATTTTTGTGCAATTCTGGGAATTTTTTTTAAAGTGAAAATAGGTCGATGTGCACATGGATACCGAGTATGTGCAATTCTTAAAAACGCGTCAAGCAGTGGGCGATTCTGCACTTTACCCAAATTCTATTGCCGACTTTTCGTCATGGCAATTCCCATATTGTTAAAAATCCATAGGATATCAAAAAAGGATTTAAAATCAAAAAATGATTTAAAAATTAAACTAGTATTTCAATGGCGTCTTAAGAAATACAGAACTATATAAACTTACGCAATCTGAAATCAGCGCGTACGTTAGATTTGGCGCGTTTGCTAGATTTGGCGCTTTTGCGCATACATTTTCGCTGCAATTTTTTTACGGCCCTCGAAACCGAATAGTACTGTATTCGGTAATCATTACCCAAAACTTCATCTATGAACTGTTCATGATGTTTATGGAAATTTTTTCAGAAAACGACAGGTCATCATTGCTGCAGCCTTCTTCTGTCATTAATGCTCAACAATTATCCATCCAAGCGTTAAATTCTTGACAATTCATGTTAGTTGGGAGATGCTTTTATTTATTCAACTTATTTTATTTCATCATTTAATTAAAAGGATGGTATGCTTTTAAAACGCTTCTTTATTATATAATTTCTGAGACGTGGTCCTAAAATTTAAATGTTGCCTGAAACAAAATTAAAACTCTTACGAAACATGTCTCTATCATCTGAATTTTTTTTTATACTGGACCTTATTCAGCGATTTTATCTTTTATATGGAGACATTACTTCAGTTAAAAAAATTACACCAGCTGTTTAGTAGAGGGTGAAAAGAAATTTTTAAAAAAAGTTTTAAAAATTATTTTATATGATTTTATTAATCGAAATATCTTAAATAACAGATGTATTTTCTAGTCTTCGTCCGTAAACGAGACTTCTGAATTCGACAACAATATCCGAATGATAACATTAACCGCGATCAGGTTAATGTTTCTAATTAGATATATCATGAATTAAATGCATTTTTATTTAAAGGAAACTGATTAAAACGTGAAAAATTATTCTTATGAAATGCATCTATTGCGTTTAAATAGCTTAGTTTGTTATCAATAAAAGACAAATTAAAATTAAATTTGAAAGATCTTAAATTTTGCCGAATGGCAACACAGATGCGAATGAAAAGGGAAAAAAACGCAAAACTATGTTAGCAGAATAATAGCCCTTTGGGCTAAAATAAATAAATAAGAATTATGCATTATTTTAAACAATTATCACCAGAATTCTCATTCTATCAACAGTTCAGGGCCCACCAGCGGCCGAGCGGTAAAGTCGCTGAACACTGGTAGTTCGGTCCAAGTTTCGAATCCCGCGAACGGGCTGGCTGCATGGGCGTTTTCGTGGTTTTCCCCATGTGTAACGTGTATACGAGCCAGTTTCCCTTAGAAAGTCCTCCACGAAGGCATCCCTCCCCTTAGGCAGATAGCCCTCGAGGCTTTGCCATAATCACATGCACACTATCAACAGTTCATATACAGACTGTCAAAGCTGTGAAATTTCTAAATCATTACTTTATACAAGATTTTTTTTAACTATTACAAACTCTGAGATTTCTTCCAAGAAATCTGACTTACATCTGTTAATTGCTCGAACTATTCGCGCAATTCGGTTATTTTATTTTATGATTATAGGGGCAATTTCAGAGAAACGGCACATATTATTTATTATCAAAATATACACTTTATTGTTGCAATTAAGCTCAGTTTAATTATAAATTATACAGATTCGAAAGAAATTTGATTATTCTCAGGTGGAGGTCAGTTTGTTTCGTCTTAGCTTCTGTTTATTCTCTGATTATAGTTGAATTTTTTAGCTCTTTTTAGCATTTTTCTTTATATTTCAGTTTACTGAATATGTTGTCAGATAACTGTCCATCGACAGATAGCTTCGGGAAAAAATTAAGCTTTCTGATAAATTATTAAAGTAAT